CATGAATTGTTATTCCAGAGTGATGGAGCTCTCGAGATGTGCATCACTAACTGCCCCGCTGGTCAGTGATGTACCAGAACGCACGGGAGGTGTGAGCATCACCCGTCCCAGCTGACCTAGGATCTTGGAGAAGACAAACTCTCCAACCACAGCAAACAGCCACGGTCACTAGGGGATGGGGGTGACAACTCAGACTGATGGTGTGGAAGTTCAGCGACATACCTGAACAAACCACAGACAGGATGGACAAAAAATTGCAACTGATCAAAACTATTAACATGTAAGTTAGTGAAGCCATCACTGGCATATTTTATTATGGAAACTAGGCAGTGGAGTTAGTTTGGTCTCAGTATGAAATGAGGCTTTTGGGATAACAGTCTGTGCTTGGAGGCTTTCACATACAGATTTTTTCTCCTCTTCCTTTCCTTTTTCCACCCCCAGCTTGTGAATCAACTAGCTGAATAGAGCCACATTTGTCAAAGGAATGATGATCATAGAATCATAGGATGTCTGGACTGGAAGGGACCTTCAAAGGTCATGTGGTCCAATCCCCAGGCCACAAACAGGGCCATCTCCAACTAGATCAAGCTACTCAGAGCTTCATCTAGCCTGACGTTGAATTTCCCCAGGGATTGGGCTTCCACCACCTTTTCCAGTGATCTATCACCCTCATATTAAAGAACTTTTTCCTAATGTCTAACCTAAATCTACCCTTTTCCAGCTTAAAGCCCCTTGTCTTGTCACTACAAACCCTTGTGAATAGTCCCTCCCCTGCTTTCCTATAGGCCCCTTTCAGGTACTGGAAGGTTGCTATAAGGTCGCCCTCGAGCCTCCTCATCTCCAGGCTGAACAACCCCAACTCCCTCAGCCTGTCCTCACAGGAGAGCTGCTCCAGCCCTCTGAACATTTTTGAGGCTCTCTGCTGAACATGTTCCAATAGCACCATGTCCTTCTTGTGCTGGGGTCTCCAGAGCTGGACACAGGACTCCAGGTGAGGTCTCACCAGGGCAGAGCAGAGCAGCAGGATCACCTCTCTCCACCTGCTGGCCACACTGCTTTTGATGCAGCCCAGGATTCGATTTGCCTTCTGGACTGCTGCTGCACATTGTTGGCTCATGTCCAGCTTCTTATTTTCTAGTATCCCCAAGTCTTTTTCCAGTGGACTTCTTTCTAATGTGTCCTTTGCCAGCCTGTATTGCTAATGTTGGTTGCCCCTCCCCAGGTGCAGGACCCTGCACTTGGCCTTGTTGAACCTCATGAGGTTCACCTGAGCCTACTTCTCCAGTCTCAGAAATAATTAAGTTCCTGCATATTTTCTCCTTACAAACTGATGCTAGTAGAGCTACTTGTTATGCTGAGAGTGTCTCCTTACAGGGTTACACTAGCCCTCCTTAAAGGAGATCTTGCTCTCTCTGTTAACAAAACATATTTTGAATGAGATGCTATACATGTGTAGATCTGTGCTTTTAGTGGTCCAACAGGCGTGCTAAATGTGCTTCTTTGTCATTAACTCATGGCTGCAAAATGGGAATAGTGATATTATGTTATTTCAGCTAATCAAATGCTGAAGCTTCTAAATGCCAGAAGCTTTGGCCAAACTTAAGGATGAAAAATACACATAATCAATGACACATATTTGAAAGATTAATCAGAAAGCATGAAGTCCTTTAACTTAGTTGGTACCCAGCAAGCCAGCTCTTGCCAAAGAAAATACAATTTAGAATGTGCCTGAATTAAAGAGGAAATTTGAGAAAATAACCTTACGAAAGTACCCTAGAAACCAAAATAGAGGCATTTATTTTGACAAAATTATCACATCTGCTTCAGAGTTTCAATTTAATGTGTGGGTTGTTTTTTCTTTTAAATCTAGATCATAAGTAATTTTTTCACAAATATTCTATTTTTATTAAACTTAGAAACTGGTCTTTGTCTTTGGTTAAAAGCAATGTAGCAACTGAAATGACATATCAACGATCAAATATTTTGTGCTCACCCTTGCAAATATAGTCCAGATGAGCACAGCCAAAAGGCTGATGGATTGTCCAAATACCTTGATCTGAGTGTTTTCTCCAGTTTCTGGTCAAATGCCAATACCGGAAGAAATTAAGCACCACAATCAACAATAATTGCCATACTAAAATGATTACTTGTGCATAATAGATATGTAGATTGATGTAGTCTTGGGAGTCAGGGATAAGGCACGTCTTGCTCAGACAGTGCAGAGGAAGCCTGGTTGTTACTGATGCTTTTCCCTATCAGTTGCTAAACTGGGAAGAGTTTGAGTTGTGTGTTTTAAAAAATAAATTTAATAAGCATGGCTATATTATTCAAAAGGAACCTAGGGTTATTTCCTCAATACATCTTGAGGTAACCAAAGAAAAATGACTGTCAAAGATGACAAACCTTTACAGATTGCTCTGACTCACCAGAGTTTATGGGTGCTTCACTGTCCACACAAGGCCAACTTTTTAAAGACCTTATCAATGGTTGTAAATATTCAGATATTGCAACTTAAATTTTGTTTTTTTGTTTGTTTGTTTGTTTGTTTTGTTTAACTAAAATGCCTGTGAAGTGTCCCCACATTTATGTAAGCTTTTTGTACTTGCACATAGGTGTTCTGTTCTGGTTTTGCAGAGTATTACTCAATATTTTTAATTATTTGGATTTGCATCTATAGTTTCCTAAAGAGTAATATTTTTTAATTAACTCTAGACAGCTGAAGACTGTAGTATGAGTATAGGTGCCTGGAGATCTCCACCAAAACAGGCTTCTTAGACAAACACAGCATGGCAGATGGTCCCTGCCGTGAAGAGCTTACAATCTAAATAATTTTCTTATCTCCCTCTTGTTTCTCTGAGCTATTAGCATCTGGCTGCTTGCTAGTATGGTATAAGTGCTCTCAAAGGCACTCCTCTCCACGTCCAAAACAGAAACCTCCTTCTCTTTGATTCTTCGTCTCAGCTCTCATTCCAAAGGGCAAGAGGCAGTAGCACCACTACCAAAGCTTCTTTTACAGACTTTTTTTTGGCATTAGTTATTGAAGAATCAGATGTCTGACCTTTCAGCAGTAGGTAAAAGGAGAATAAAAAGATCTCTATTCCTGACAGTGTTTGGAGGTGTCTGGTCGCTCTAGTTTTTCTTTGCACTGACTGCTGTATGTGATGTGCTTTAGATGTGCCAATAATGTTAAGGCAGAGGACCAAGTTTGTTTGCTTTGACTGCTCCTTCCTGGCATTAAGTTGAAAATATTCAAGTTAGAGATCTCTGTGTGTTGGCACAGATGTGCCATCTGTGCACATATCTTTCTAGATAATGGTAACATCACCAAGGTGTTTTCTTTTTAAGTTATATATGTTAATCCAGTGTGAAGGATATGAAGGATATCACTGTCCTTGTTCCAGGCCAGAGAAGTAGCTGTAAGCTATAGTTGTTTTCAGTGAGATATGTAGGAGCTGGATGTTACTAGCAGAAAGAGTGCTTTAAGAATTTAGAGAGGTACAGAGAAAATCATCCTGTGTGTTTGTGCACTGAGTGTGTTCATGTGGAGGTTAAACAGTCTCACAATATCTGCATTATAACCATACTTATCAATATCTGTCCTCAGCATATTTCAGATTCATTCCAGTGGTATCAAGAGTTGCTATTTTAAATTATCTTACAAGTGCCTTTATGTCCACAATATTGGTCATATTTATGTTGGTGGCCAGCTTGAAGAAAGGTCAAAGGTACTATAGTCATATATTAAAAAACATTTCTTGTTCTGTACCTCACTGTGGCATGTACTGTACAAAATATGTTCATGTTCTGCCATGTTTCTCTTCTTTCTCAGTTGCTCTTCCTGTTTTCATCTTCCTTTCTTCTTTTCACACTTCATTTCTTCTACTATCTTCTCCTTCTGTGGAAAAAGTTGTAACCTCCATTCCACCTTAAAAAAAAAAAAAAAGATCAGTAGGTAGATCCTTCTGGCATTTTTTTAGTGCATCACCAATGAATTTTAATCATTTACTGTAGCAATAATATTACTGGGGATGGTGAATTTCACATTTTGTAAAAGTGTTTGAGGCCTAAAGCAGACACCAAAGCTCCCAAGACTTCAATGCCATGATCTATTAGCTGATCAGTCAGAGAAGCAGACACTTCCTAAGTCTCATCAAAAGCTGGATGCTTTAGATGGAGCATGACACTTTTGAGCCATACCTCTTTTTCTGAGGAGCAATACTACGGCCCTAAAAAAGTTATGCTGGAAGCTGTCCCAGTTTGACTTGACTTTGTCTCCTCTGTTCTCCTGGAGAAAAAGGGAAAGTAAGTTTTCAAGTTAATGCCCTAGTGGTTTTGGGCACCATGCATTGCCAATGACCAGGCCAGACAACGGTCTTGAGCTTTTGAGAAGGGAGGAGCACAAGCTGGCACAAAGCTATGACTGCAGATTAAAAAAGATCCTGCCACATTTGGAAGATCAGTCAGGAGGGAAAAGGGCCCCAATTTTAACAGTGCACATGCTGAGTCACAAGGACCTTTCCTTCAGGGAATGACTGCCAGGCACTTTTCTGGAAATTACACTTTTTTAAAAGCCCGTAAAGGGGCCTCTAAAAATGGAGGCATCCAAGGCCAGCAGTGTTAAGGCACAGTACCCTGCTGTTTGGCTTTGGCTGTGGACTGAATTCAATACGTTGGAAGCAGAATTCATTGCACGTACACGTAAATATCTTCTATTCCAATGCATTTGATTCTGTTTTCAACTGTGTGAAAAATATGTTTTCTATGAAAATCTGAATTACTCATACTTGGGAAATATATACATTTCAATTTCATGTAACTTGGATTATGGTAAAAATAATATAGTCTTTCAAATAGCCTTTATGCTCTACTGTCTTTTACCTTTCAATTTGAAGTATGTCATTCCTTGCTTTGCTCTGAAACACTGAACAGCAGCAACAAAGTTCAGTCCCAGTGTGACTGTCCACAATATTAATTATCCTGATATGCTTTTGTTCCTACAGCGAAGATGTTTGTAAACGAGGATTCACTGTTATTATTGATATGCGGGGATCCAAATGGGATTTGATCAAGCCTCTCCTAAAGACCCTTCAAGAAGCATTCAAGAAGCCTTTCCTTCTGAGATTCATGTTGCCCTGATTATAAAACCTGATAACTTCTGGCAGAAGCAGAAAACAAACTTTGGCAGTTCCAAGTTCATCTTTGAGGTGAGAGCCACATGGTAAAGCATTGTCTCTGATAAGAAATTTTCTTAAGGTAAAAAAAAAAAAATTCCCAAGCCCTGTGATTGAGACAAAAAAAGACATCTGAGTTTGCAGGACTGAGCTGACATCTGGGCATCAGGTTGCCCTCTGAGCACACCAGCGGAAAGAGGTGCACACTTCATCTCAGAGGTTCACATAAATAGTTCACTTGAGTGTTGTTGTTTTTTTTTTAATTTCTTTATCAGTCAATATACTAAAGACAAAGTTCTCTAGATGCTAATGTATGGTTTTGTTAGTTGACCTCTACCCAACTTCAGGTAGTGTTTTTTTTAATAAAAGACATTTATACTAAATTTATCTGTATATTGCCACTACTTTAATTGAGATTTATAATTCAGAAGTAACATCTAATGTTAAGGTACCTCGAGCAGGTTCTTTGAGAAAGGAGCCAATATACAACAACTGCATAATTAAAGGGAATTTTACTAACTTGGTCGTTGGGGAAGACAAACCAACTGTGTTCTCTTAGTCCACTTTAGTTTTCTGTGAATTTCAACTTCTTGCTCAAAGAGGAGCAAAGCTCAAGTGCATGAAGTGCTACACATCAATCATGCCCAGCCATGAGTGAGTTAGTTGTGCTGAGGTTTTTTGTTTTGGTTTGTTTTTGGTTTTTTTTTTTTTTTTTAATTTGCTGAGAAACAGTTCTACTGTTGTCTGCCTTGCCTGCCAAGAAATTAATTTCAGAAAGACACTCAGATTTTACATCTCTGGAGCTCAGTGGATAATTTGGCTATAGTTCTTAATGATGACTGAAATAGAAGTCTATATTTAAATATATATTTAAGATCTGTTGACATCAGTGTAATATAAATATGTCATTTTCAACCTCTTCTTAAAAGCACTCCTGAATTACAACAGGCAACTAGATCGGTGTTAAACATTAACAAACTTTCACATTATCATCACAACTTAAGTGTTTGTACATTTTTTTTTCCTCTGTCTCACAAAAAACAGTCAACTCATAAATTTTGCTTTGTTTAAATGGGTCCTTACCTTCCTTCTGTTGAATTACGCCATCAGCAAATTCAGCAGTAACCAGCGTTAGTTTTAAGGCCAGATTCTGTTTTTCAGCTTAGTGGAAACACTATGCATGTGTCAGGGCAGTGCTCGACCCTTAGTGGAGGCTAGTGATCTGGATTTTGTGTTGTCAGGCTCTGGTGGAATGATTCTGTGTCACAGTCCAGAGAGTGAAGCGTGCCTGCAGATCATCACACAAAGAAAAGAGAAAAAAATAGGGTTTGGTTGATGTATGTGGACTCCAAAGCTTCCTGTCGCTTTGAGGAATGGACTAGGCAGCTTCGTTAACATTAATTCAGAGATTCCTTCAAGAGTACTTTCTTTCTCCTGCCAAAAGGGTTTAAATAGCAGGCAGTGCTTTTCCAAGTGATTCCAAAAGAAAGATGGGTAATGCCTGAGAAACAGTTACTTTATCTTACCACCTATCTGTCTAGCTAAGGTTGTTGTCATGAAAGTTTCAAGAACTCCTTGAAGAAACAAATCTGAATAAAGAAATTTGCTGCAGAATTGATGAAATGAAATCGTGTTAGATTCTGCTCATGATAAAAGCAGTGCTTGGGTTATCTTGACACACTGCAGAGGGACTGCTTGGGTATTAGCCATGACAAGAAGCCTTTTCTTTACAGGTAGTTAAACTCTAAATTGAATTATCTTCAAGAGATCAGTCTCCAGGTCAAGAGGTTTAGGAATTTGAATTCCCTCTGAAGCTACATACTTACCTTCCCATTGTTTGTTAGCTCTTTCCTCTGTCCTCCTCCTTCCCCAAAGCAAGGGACATTGCAAGAATGTTTTAAAATAATCCTTTTACTGAGTACAAGTTCAACATAATCCCAGTTTAATGCATTGCAGAATGCCTAATATTGTTAGATGGATACAAATCTGAAGAAAAGCCTCTTAGTAACTTTAAACCAGTGGGCAGCCTGCAATTTTGGACCTAATTCAGGATAATGGAGAGGACTTGAGGTATTTTTCTTTACAGATGACTTTTAAAAGATTGCTGTGATTATTGGGTGCCTCCACTTCTGAAGAGCACAAACTTTGTCTTCTTTAGAGGCCTTAATCTTTAGGGGATAGATGTAGAGTCAGTGATGAACGTCACAAGCCTTTAAGGGCTGCCAATTTGGGTGTTATCATGACAGCATGGAAAATCTCTTGTAACATATGAAACCAAATGTTCATATCTCAGAAAAAATAATTTGTCTGGAATAAATGGGAACAGCCATCAGTTGTTGCATCCTTAAACTGTATTCTGCTTTCCAGGCATCCAGTGCATTTGTCTATCACTGATTACTGAATCTGAATCAATGAAAACCTTCTCTCATTGATTGTATGTGATTCATGCACAGTACTTTCTACTAGCAATAAATTGTAATTGTTAATACTCTACTATTTTGGGCTTAATTACATTAGAAATTACTAATATGAAAAAGCTCTGCCTGTGGCAAAAGCCAGCTAGAATAATCTGCAGGAAAACCCCAGCATATTCTGTGTTTTGGCAGGTCATAATACCTGCTTCAGTTCATACACCTAAAACATTTGCTGTTATACAGCCACCACCAGCCTGGGTGTAGCACAAGGAGCAGAATCCCTGTAATACCATATACCTCTTCAGTAAACAGTCATGTCCAGACACCCAACAGCTGCAGCAAGAAGTCTTCATTGTCCAGCTGGGTTAAAGTAATCTATGGAAGAAGCATTTTCATTAGGTTTGTGATAGTCAGGCCAGCTGAAAAAAGATAGACATTATTCCAGTAAATCAATCAATCAGTGCCATTAATGGAAAAGTTTTCAATCCAATTAATTCATCAGAAGTAAACATAGTCTTCAGTATCTTTTACAATGTTCCTTCAATTATGTATTGATGAGGAAAATAATCCCTTCATGCTGCTTATGGATTGCACTGTTGTTTCTGATTAGATGGTCACTGATTCAAATGCTGTCATTTTCCTTTCCTTAGACAAGTATGGTATCTGTTGAAGGCCTGGCAAAACTTGTAGACCCTTCTCAACTGACGGATGAGTTTGAAGGATCCTTGGATTACAATCATGACGAATGGATCGAGCTGCGCGTCTCCTTGGAAGAGTTTTTCAACAGTGCAATCCATTTATTATCAAGGCTGGAGGATCTCCAGGAAATGTTGGCTAGGAAGGAGTTTCCAGTTGATGTTGAGGGCTCAAGAAGGCTGATTGATGAGCACACGCAGCTTAAGAAAAAAGTGATTAAAGCTCCTGTGGAAGAACTGGATCGTGAGGGTCAGAGGTTATTACAATGCATAAGATGCAGCGATGGTTTTTCTGGTAGGAACTGCATTCCTGGAAGTGCAGATTTTCAAAGTCTTGTGCCAAAGATCACCAGCCTTTTAGACAAGCTGCACTCTACCCGGCAACACCTGCATCAGATGTGGCATGTCCGCAAGTTGAAATTGGACCAGTGCTTCCAACTCCGGCTTTTTGAGCAAGATGCTGAGAAGGTAGGGAATAATCTATTCCTTTCATACTTTAACCAAGACTTTACCACAAGGCCACTGGGACTGTTTTGCTGTAGTTAGCAACATGAGGTATTCATCACAGGTGTAAATCTCATGTTGCCAGCAGATGCACTTTATGTGACTTGTAAACCAAATTCACTGAACTGATTGTTGGATGTAGCAGGCATAGTGATATCCAAGAATAACTTGCCTGTGTCACTTTTGATGAAAGTTAATCTGCTTTTTTGTGTCATGATGGATACATTTGGTAGACAGCACGAGAATCTGGCTTTTTTATTTTTTCCTCAGGTTTCTTTTACTAAGATTATGAATATATTTATCTGCATGTCACAGTACCTAAGAAAGAATGATTTTAGGGTTTGATTAACTAAGATTATTGTTTGCACTTCTTGCAAGTCTATGGGAATTTTGTGGTTTAAATCCTCATAACTGTTACCTCAAACAACATTTTCAGTCTCCCTTTCCTACGAAATCACAACTGGATTTGCAACTGGTAAAATCTTTAGTACGGCTTTGTACCAAGGAGATGGCCACTTAGTTCCCACAGCATGAGATCTGGGTCTAGGTTTAGGTTAAATATATAAACAGACCAAGAGAAAGTATTCTGAAATGACAGCAGCATGCAAAACTCAGTGTGGCTGTTTTGCATTAAAAAGCCCATCAGGACAGCATTTCAATTCATACCTGACACTGAGTCAGTGGCCAAGATTCCTGAACACTCGCACAAGACCTTATTTCAGAAATATTTAAAATTAAATTAGTCCATAGAGATTGCATTGTAACTTCGTATTTCTTAGATATTTGTAATGTAGCATATCAGCATGAAAAGCATATAGGGTGTCTCAAAATGGAATACAGTGTAGAAAAGCAAAGGCACAGGTAAGTAGCATGACTTTCAGAGGTGTGTGGTACCACTGCAGAGTTCCATCTTCATTCCCTGTGTCTTCAGAAGATACTCATTCGGGAACCTGTAGTAGATATGAAGTCTCCTGCAGGCAAAATGTAACAGCAGGTCATGTTTGTTGAAAAAAACAACTGGCTAAAAACCAACCAGAGTTCCCTAAGCAGGTCTCATACACAACACCACCTAAAAATACACAATAAAGCAGACTTCTTACTACTCGTAGTATTTGCCTACTGTTTGTGTCTGGAATTGTATGCAGGTACAGATTAGGGTGATTTTATTTTAGAAAACTGTGTTATACTAGAGTCTTGGCAGTCTCACTTTCTTAACACATAATTGCTTGACATCTTGCTCAGTGGTTTCATGAGAAATCTTTGCTGCACTTTTAAAATTCTAGGCCAGAGAAGTAGAGTGTTCTCAGTGGAAGGTACTGAGCTCTCCGACTCTGTTTATCTAGTCTGTACATCCATCAAAAGCACCAATCTCTGAATCTTTTCCACTTGATGTATGGTCCAGCTGTTTCACTGACGTGTCTGCCTGGACCCAAGAGGAATGCTGAAAGAAATGCAGGCCTCATCTGCAGGGGAATCTCACTGAAGGTGATTTTTTAAAAAAATCGACTGCAAAGTAATAGTATTTATAAAACATCAGGGAAAAGCACATTGCTGAAATTAATATAATTTTCAGTAGTGCAGAGCGAGACAGAAGACATTGGTTTTCAATGCATGTACCATATATCTAAGGGATGCTAGGACTGTATAATCAATCCTCCTATTGGGAAAACCCAGAATTCAGATGAGTCCCTCTAAAATGAGAGTTACTACAGCATCATTCAAGGGTGCATAAGAGCTTTTTTCTTCTAAATGCTACAATTTCTTCTTCTTCTCCATTTTCCTTGTGCATCACATGCTATAAGGAGATTACTCACTGCTCTCCTTCCCAGTGGTGGCTGTATTTCAGTCAGTGCTTCAGTTTAGATTTTGAGTTTCTTTGGGATTATTCAGATTAACACTGCTTACTAAAATAAATTTTAATTTTTATTTATGAATATTGTTTTCCTAATATTATTAGCAAAATATTGTTGTTATTGTTATTATTAATAATGTTATAAGCTGAAAGGCTCTCAGATAAAGCCAGTGTCTGAGAAGTTCTTGGTGCCATGCCCCATTCTGTAGTGTTGAAGGAAGTCTCCAATATATTTTTCCTTTCTATCTCCTGAACAGTCATAAAAGGATGATGTGATCCAAGTCTGAGCATTGTGACAGGATTTTGCATGTGTTAGTCTGTGTAAACTTTAGGCAAGTCAGCAGG